TTTGGTTAAATTATTTTCGTTTTTGTGTCCTTGGATATTAGTAGCCAACCATCATGTATATATGCCTGACTACTCCGTCGTTTTTTTTTGACATATAAGGTTCAAGCCTCTCAGTTCCTAGGAATCGACAGCCGGACTATATTCATTATAGTGGTGAAGGCTTTGTGCAGAGCTAACCACACTTTTTGGAGAGCCGAATTGAGAGACATGGTGCACTACGTGCCACAATGTCCCCACTCGACCCTCCGCAGGTTTTGCGTTCAGTGTTGTCCTTCTCTTAGACCAGTTGCAAAATTCGAATGTGCAGCTTCTGTAATGTTTAACGGCTTTGAAATGGAAGACGGAGAGCGGAGTTCGATTTCCAGTTGGGTTCATTATATTTAATGAAAAAAAAATTGATATTAAAATAACTGATCCGACGTGCAACTTTCGGATAATAACTGTGACATTCCTGTACTTATTGAACAATTTAGTTCATGCCACATTGACTGAAAAAACCTACCAGTACAAAAGAATTCTCCTGTTACTATATTAGTGCAAAAACGCACAATCTAAAAATGTAAAGATGCAACCTCAGCGTTGCGCCCGCACGTTCCGAAACAATTTCTTACAATTAACAATAACACATTTCTAAAAACATATTTCGGATTACATCTATATTTTCGTTGTCCTGTTATTACCGAGAAGTAAAAAACAAAAACAAATCTATTTCCATACCTGAAGATTTCTGTAGAAACAGACGAAAGCTTTTAAAATACTAAAAAAAGACCTTATGCAACTGGAATTTATAAACAGGGATCATAACATTCATTTACAGGTTCCGGGTTAATGTACTTTGTTAAAATTGTTTGCGAGGATGTATTCTCGCCATTTAAATCATTTAAATCAATTAAACTTCTATATCTGGTTTTGTATGAATGATTCATGTAATGTAAATTGAAATGCACTTACATATATATATATATATATATATATATATATATATATATATATATATATATATATATATATATAGCAGTAGAGCCCGGTGTTGCCGGGGATGTAACAGTAAGAGATAGATCAAGTATCCACCATCATAAAGACTGAAAAATAAAATTGACAAAGATTATTGTTTAAGGTTGACGGACGCGCATGTCTTAATTAGTTTTTTTTTTACGAATTGGTCAAACTCAAACTAAAAAAACAACATTGTTTTCAATCGTTATGAGTCTACCGATTGAATAGAATTTTATTATAGACAATTGTCTTGTAAATGGAATTTTTAAAGCATTCTGAATGTAAAAATAAAGAAAAAAAGTGTGCAAGACAATAAGAAACACTACTTGCCAAAAAAAAAAAAAATAATGAAGTTTTGGTGAAATCGGTCGAAAAATGTAGGAAATCCGATCCCATATATAAACGAACACACACACACACACACACACACACACACACACACACACACACACACACACACACAACCTGGGTTTTATAATAAGTATAACTCGATATGAGTTGTCCCCCTTTCATTCTCGCGACAGCGATGCTTCTTAATCGTGTTTTCAAATTGATTTCGTGTAAAAACGATTGTGTTTTTCCAATTTCTGGCACTGTCAGAACCACCGCAAGGTAATTTTACGTAGTCCTGTGAAGTTTTGTTGAAATCGGTTGAAAAATGTAGGAAATCCGATCCAATATATAAACGAACAGACACACACACACACACAACCTGGGTTTTATAATAAGTATGATATATATATATATATATATATATATATATATGTATTGTGTGTGTGTGTATGAGTGTGTTTGTGGTTCCTTAGTATGCGTTTACTCCTTGGACTCACCAGCCCTGATATTTACAACTGGGACCCGTCATGCCGCGTACACAGGGATGAATCATCCTCATCTCCCTTCGTCTTCCATTAGTAAGTACGAAGTACCACTCTGACATCTTCTTCCAAAGAAATGCTGATTTTTGGAACATGCTCCCGAGAGGGTGCTTCCGCAATCACTACAAGCTTGATCTCTTCAAGTCTAGTGTTAACCGCTATATTTCTTTATACCCCCATGAACTTCACTGCTTGCACTTTCTTTCGCTCATACAACTCCACACAGAAACCTTCTACCTCGAGTGCCTCTTGGACCTTGTATTGGGTGACTATTAGTGTAGCAATATTAGAAAATGTCAAGCAAGAGATAACGCGTGGTTAGAAGTTTTTATTGTGACGTTGACTACGCTGTATCTCGTATTTGGCTGTCAATGAATTAAATTTAGCAATTACGAAGTCGATGTTAGGTTAGTTAATTTAATGATGTATTTTGTCACCAAATACATATTTAACCCTAACAAGGCTTGATATATGTCACATCGGATAAAATCTCAAAGAAATAATTGAAGGGAAGACGTAAATTTGGTTTACACTGAAGTCTGAAAGCATAGACATGGTCAAGTTTATACTGATGTCTGCAAATATCTGCCAAGGTGTCCGCTTTTCTTGGGCTCTTAGTCTTTTGAACGGCATGCAGTCTGTGTATTTGAAACCTCGCTGACATAGCAAATGAGTTTTATGCAAAAAGTGGAATTCGCCCGTTTATTTTAGTCTAGCTGCTGCGGAGCGTTTTTAGGCATTTGGCACTTTACCTTCACCTATGTTCGTAAATGTACGTAAATCTAATGCTAATTAGTTATCGTCAGAAAATGCTTTTAGACTGCGCCTCAAGAGCAAGCAGGGAGTTCAGCCTGAAGACGGGGGCACCTCGGCGTGGTGTAATGGTTAGTAAGCTTGTCTCGCTAGATCTGTTACAACTGAAAAGTGAGTTCGATCCTCACTAGATGCCCTATACTTTCGGCTTTGTGCCACATCTAAGCTACGCTTGGAAAATAAGTTTGTGGTTTTTTTTATTAATAACTCAAATTTTGTTTAGTTTATTGTAAATATGTAAGTCATTTTGTACATATTCATTTGGGGATCTTTTTAAAAGTTGTTGTTTTATGCCCCTCTCCCACCCCACGAACAATATTTGTACATAAGGGGACTAGTTGGGATTTCATAGAGAATTTGTGGTATTATGATGGACGCAGTAAGAAAGGTATGAGTGAATGCGTTGTTTTGGTGATTGGAACATTGTTGGTATGTTTGGGTCCGTGTCTGTGACTAGTTAAGTTTAGAATTAAGACAGAAGAAGACCGTCTTTCCCCCACCCCCTTTTAGGCCTTGTGCCACATTTTATACATTGTATAAATAAATATCGTTCAGCCTGAAGACGGGCGACCGGCTGACCGGTTGATCGGTTGAACTCTCTGCCTTCGGGCGGGGAAGAACCCGAACGAGGCTACGCCAAAGGGCGGAGTCTCTTTCGGTGAGGTAAACCGACCCTGAACCCGTTTATACGGGTTCAAAGGGCATATTTTTGGCCGAGCCCACCGGATCGGAGATCCCACGTTAAACCGGCCTTGTGCCACATGATGCCCTCGTGGGGGGTGATTAAACACTGTTCAGTCTGAAGTCTATAGTGAGGTCCGTTCAGAAGTCTGTCAGTCAGTCAGAGCGAGTCAGTCAGTCGAGTCAGAGTCGCGTTCAGACAATTAATACAAGACATTGGAATTGTGATACTGGTCGAGACTACATTGTTCTCCCTACTAAACCTCATTGTTCGTACTAACCCTTTCTACCTCTCTGTATATATTCCTGTTTGTAATATATCTGTGTTATTCCATATCCGTGTTCGAGTTCTTCTTTATTGGTTCTACTTTGGACCATCGCCGTGGTACAAGGAACCGGACCATAACAGATTGTAAGAATGTTTTCGAGATAATAATAATTTTTTGATACAAGCCCTACCAAGGGGAGGTGAATTCATGCCTTTCCCAAGGGTATTTGCTCGTAGCGTAAGTGACTGCAGCGACCCGACTGGAATTGGAACTCTGCTCTTTGATTTCCAATTTTGAGCCGTTATCCGTTACAGCAGCCACGCATCCAAACGCACAACACTGGGTATTCCCAACCGGTCACCCATCTAATTACTGACCAGGCTCGACGTTGCTTAATTTTTTAAATTTGGTGATAATACGAAAACCGTTATTTCAAGGTGCTATGGCTGTGAGCTTATATATATATATATATATATATATATATATATATATATATATATATAAATTAAATTGTAGCCCTGTCTCTCTGTTTTGTTTGTTATCTAATTCCTTTTAGGGTTTTGGAGATAGACCCCTGTAACCATCTATATTCTGACACTACATCAAAAGAGGTCCCCGGAGGACATAAACTCCTCACAGATTTTTTTCCCTTTGATATAAATTAAAATTGAGCAAGTGAATGACTCCTATCCAATATATAGAAGGAAAAAGTGAGAAGATGGAGGCCACATCGTCAAGATCGTTGAATAATATTGAAATGCTTCATTTTCTTCACAAATTATAACAATGATTTAAAATCACTCATCATTTTCTTACAAAAGATGTGTGACGTGAAGTAAGGCGTGGATAAATCATCTAGTACTAAATAAGAATACGGCAAGATATCTGTAGACATCTAGGATTTAGATTAAGTATAGTGTTCGGTTCAAAATTCCCTGTAGGTTACCTGGTTTGATAAACACATGTAGGAGGCGGAAGGATACAAAGATGGGAATAATAACAATCATGAGTAAAATAGTCCGAATATAAATAATAAAAAAGTAAGTTAATAGTGGAGTGAATCAAAAAGAAACTAATCGTAAAACTGAACATAGGCTAAGCGATTAGAAAACAAAAAAAAATACAGCGGGAAAACAAAGAAAACATGTTTTTAGAATTCTCCAACATCGGAGGCACGGCGGAGTAATGGATCGCAGCTCGTATTAAGGAATCCTGATCGGATCCATTACTTTCACTTTAGTAGTAATGAAATGGGTAAATAGCAGGGCAGACTGGGTTCTATAGCCTTTAGAAAAAGAAAGCGGTTTGGGGTCTGTCAGGCTGTCTTGCCTAACAAACACCGCTTCTAATGTGGGTAGAACGTAATATGTCTGACAGCTTTCTTTGTCGAAACCGTTTAATCAAATCTTCATTTCATCAAACCTAGAATATAAAAGGGAGATAACTGAATTTTCTGAAATCATGTAACGTTTAAAAATTAAATTGATTAAAAATTACACCCGTTAATTTGGTTTGGTTCTTCTTGTTTAACGGCATGTCAACACGCCTATGGGTTATTTAATGCCGAAATCTAAATATTTCGTACACAATTTTATGGCTATTTTGTACATAATTTTATACTTTGAGCTTGAAAACCATGCCCCAGGTTGTCCCAAGCCTTGTTAGTGAAATTGGTAGACGAAACCCTTGGATGCCGTCGATAGCTGTACCAGCACGAAGTCAGCGGGGCCGAGGGCTTGAACGTGCTGGCCTTGTTGAAATTGTTGATCACGCTAGATAACACGCTCTTTCCCAGAAACAGTAACTAAGGTCTGCTCAGCATAGTTGCAGTATAAACCAGAGGTGGGATCTGTGGGTGTTGAATAAACACAAATGCGCCTAAGCAAGATGGGTATTCTTGAATACGAGTAGCCAGCTATACATACGTACATACGTAAAGCTATTTCTTTCAGGTAGGACATTATGTTGACAGTTTTAGTATTTTCAACTAGTTTTCTCATATTGGTATACCCGTCGTATGTCCGTCATACAGATGCTATGAGAGTAGATTCAGTTAAAATTAAAATTGGTTTGGTTTGGTTTATTTTACGGCATATCAACACATCAATGGGTTATATAAAGCCAAGATTTTTATTGTTGGCAGTATTTTTTATCTATCTATCTATCTATCTATCTATCTATCTATCTATCTATCTATCTATCTATCGTGGTCTCTTCATATCTATCTGTCTCTCTTGGTCTTCATATCTCTCTCTCTCTCTCTCTCTCTTGGTCTTCATATCTATCTATCTCTCTATCTCAGTATATATTGGTTTGGTTTTTTTTAAGGCTTATCAAACTTAATGGGTTATTTAATAGCGACAAGATTTTTGTTGTTGGTAATATTTTTTATCTATCTATCTATCTATCTATCTATCTATCTATCTATCTATCTATCTATCTATCTATCTCACTATATATTGGTTTGGTTTGGTTTACGGCATATCAACCCCAATGGGTTATTTAAAGCCGGCAAGATTTTTATTGCTGGTAATATTTTTTCCCAAAACTGTATTGCTGGTACTAAAAACAATTTTACACTTTCATAGTGTTTTAAAGTCAGTCTGGGGGTTAATTATTTGCCCATAGCTGGGACCCTAACAAGTGCTACCACCCCGGGTCAGTGTGGACCCGGGGACACCAGCAATTAAGAGCTGGTTCCACGCTCCTCAAAACGTCCTGATCAGAGACCTTGCTGTTGGATGTAGTTTATCGTCATACCCAGGACGCAGAGGTAGTTTATAAAGTTACCCAGGACGGAGTGCATCTTGGTATATTGTACGTGTTGATTGTTTCTGCAAAAAATATGAATAGATGAGGTGGGCGTTACCTCAACTTTTCTTCTTAAGTTCGCTCGTACGGAGGGGTAATCGGGTCTCTGTCCCCAGATTAAAGGGACCTCTGATCTAGATTAGAAAACAGTAACGAGAATTTGGAAGAATTAACTTTGAATTCCCCAATTCACTGGAACTTCAAAACCTCACTTTATCTCTGATTCGAGTTATAAGTCCAATGACCGATTTTGGGTGTCAATTCCAATTCAAATCGAAAATTGAGTTCTTCAAATCATAAACTCCGCGGAACTTCAAGACTACTCACTTTAACTCTGATTCTTTGGCATTTTGAAGAAATAAAATTGATTTCCTCAATTCACAAAGTTTTTGAGATATTTTAAACTGAATTTAAAACATTTTTTTTAAATTTACAAAGATTTGTATTATATTGAACTCAATATAACTTTAAACTAGGAAAATCGGTTCATTTTGTCGTGTTCGACGTTTTTCTTGTAAAAATCTATTTTGCATAATTATAAATATACCATACGTTCTAGAACATCAATATATGTTGGTTGAATTTTTTAACTATCCCTTCTTCATCTGGGCACAATTCCCAATGCTGGATATTCAAGCACCAGATGAAAAGCCTGTTTAGCCCGGGTTAGAGGGGTTTCAGACACACAGACAGACAGAATTTACCGCTTATTTATTTAGATTGTCCGCATTACGTAACTTTATGAATTATTAAAAATTTATATATTTTGGTATAAACCAATTTCTTTAAGATTAGGAATTATGTTGAAGGTTTCAGTATTTTGAAATAGTTTTCTTATGTTGGTTTCCTTGTAGCATTTGTGTCTTATAGTCGCTAAGTGAATACATTCAGTTAAAATGGGTTTCAGCGTGAATGCGTCTTGGCATGTTGTACATGTTGGTTGAATTTTTTAACTGCCCCCTCCTCATCTGGGCATAAATCCCAATGTTGGATATTCAAGCACTAGATGAAAAGCCTGTGGTTAGAGAGGTTTCAGACACACGGACAGACAGACAGAATTTACCGCTTATTTATTTAGATTGTCCGCATTACATAATTTTATGAATTATTAAAAGTTTATATGTTTTGCTATAAACCAATTTCTTCAAGGTTAGGAATTATGTTGAAGGTTTCAGTATTTTGAAATTAAAAATTCTTATGTTAGTTTTCTTGAAGCATTTATGTCTTACAAATGCTAAGCGAATGTTTTTAGTCAGTTAAAATGTATTTACCGTGAGTGCAGTTTGGCATGGGGTACATTTTGGTTGGTCTTCATTCTTCAGTAAGTATAAATGGGTCGGGTATGTGTGGCCGAGCCAAACTTCAGACTTTTTTTTTCTTTCAACATTTGCTTCCATTTGCCAGGTTTGATTCGATTGTGTGAAACTTAATATTTGCGTTGTCGGTCCAGTGATACTGCCATTTCTGTTGAATGAAATTTATTTTACTTTTCAGGTCCGTATAAAGGACCCTAAAACTATTGTCAAGGATTTCATTTTGGGTAGAATTCATTCTAATTCCTCTGTCGCCTGGGTTCCAGCATATTTACTATTTCTTTAGTGTTGGGTAATAAATCCAGCCAGCACAGCAATTTCACCAGGAATTGGCTGTCAAGTTTTTATTGCTCTTATAACTGACACTGAGTCAAAAATATTCTGTTTTTCCTATTTTTTGTCTATTTTAGGTCCATTGCACAAATCTCTGCAGTAGAAATTGAAGTTTATTTTAGCAGATGTTTCTTTTTTTTATTTTCTTGTTATCTACTGCTGCACACCCGGTTTCATTTTCGTATTTTGAGCCATCCGTGAAAATATATGAGTGTCTGGAATAATTGATTTTGATTCCTCTTGGAATATAAGTGGATGTCTACTTGTTTTATGACTTTTGCAGTGTTTTAGATTTATTTCCAGTATTCTTATAGTCCAAGCTCGTATATTTGGCATGGTCGTATTATGGATTCTCGATAGAGGTATTTCTGTTTCTTGAATGGTGGGTTCTATGCGGAGTCCAAAGTATTTTGGATCGAATGTGATATTCTATGAAGGATTAGATGATTTTTTTTAGTTGTTTATAGAATTGGAGTGCAAGTTTTTCTCGTCTAAGTTTTGGTAAAGGTTCGTTTCCTTCTACATAGAAATATTCTAGGGAAGATCTAAATGCTCCAAGCAACAATCTCAAAATAATCCAAACACCAATCTCAAAAGGCTCCAAACACCAATCCCAAAATGCTCCAAGCACCAATCTCAATATTCTTCAAGAACCAATCTCAAAATGCTCCAAGAGGCAATCTCAAAATGATTCCAGCGCCAATATTAAAATTTCCCAAGCTCTAAACTCAAAATCCCCCAATCACCAATCTCAAAAATGCTTCAAGGACCAATAACAAAATGTTTCAAGCGTCAATCTGAAAATGCCCAAAAGCACAAATTTCAAAATGATTCAAGCGCCAATCTCAAAATGCCCCACACACCAATCTCAAAATGCTTTAAGCGCCAATCTCAAACTGCTTCAAGGACCAATAACAAAATGCTTTAAGCGAAAATCTGAAAATTCCACTAGAGCCCATCTCCAAATTCCCCAAACGCCAATCTCAAAATACCCAAGGGCCAATCTTAAAAAGCATCAAGTGCGTTTCTCAAAATGCGCCAAGCGCCAATGTCAAAATGCTTCAAGAGCCAATCTCAAAATGCAAAATCGCCAATCTCAGAATGCTTCATGCGTCAATCTGAAAATGCCCCAAGCGCCAAATCTCAAAATACTCCAAGCCCCAATCTCAAAATGCTTCAAGCACCAATCTGCAAATGCCTAAAGCACAAATTCCAAAATGCTTCAAGCGGCAACCTCAAAATGCTTCATGAACTAATCACAAAATGCCCCAAGCGCCACTCCAAAATGCTTCAAGCGCCAATCTCAAAATGCCCCAAGCGCCAATCCCAAAATGCCACAATCCACAATATCAAAATGCTTCAAACGCCAATGTCAAAATGCTTCAAGAACCTATCACAAAATGTTTCAAGCGCCAATCTCAAAATGCCCAAAGCTCCAATCTCAAAATGCTTCAAGCTGCAATCACAAAATGCTTCAAGCACCAATCTCAAAATGCCCAAACTGCCAATCTTAAAATGCCCCAATCTCCAATTTCAAAATGTTTCAAGCGCGATTCTCAAAATGCCCTAAGTGCTAATCTCAAAATGCTTCAAGCGCTATTCTCAAAATACCCCAAGCAACAATCTCAAAATTCTTCAAGGACCAATCACAAGATGCTTCTAGCGCCAATCTCAAAATGCCCAAAGCACGAATCACAAAATGCTTCAAGCGCCAATCTTAAAATGCCCCAAGATACAATCTCAAAATACTTCAAGCGCCAATCTCAAAATACCCCAAGCATCAATATCAAAATGCTTCAAGGATCATTCAAAAGATGCTTCAAGCGCCAATCTCAAAATTGTTCAAGCCCAATTTTAAAATGTTTCAAGCACCAATGTGTATATGCTTCAAGCGTTAATCTCAAAATGCCCCAAGAACCAATCTCAAAATAATCCATTCGCAGAACACATTTTCTTTATGAAGTCTCCCGAAAATGCAGAGTGGCAGATGTAATTCACACTGTTAAAAAATATACAGGACGTCTACTCAAACATGAGTAATGACAAAATAACGTTTAGAGTAGTAGGAAATACTCATTACTTCCAAGAAGTAGAAAATAATAACCAAATTTTAAAATTTGTTCACATGCTATTAGAATTGTATATATCTTTTTTAATTTTAATTTTAAATTAGTTGATTTCGTTGCCATTATAATATACTGTAACGATGTATTCAGAATTAAAAACGAAAGAAAAAATATAGAATATGAGAAATAATGCACAAATCAAATGGATGGAACTCTTTAAGCTTAGAGGAGAAAAGGAAGTCTTCAATTTGAAAATTTCGTTGCTTTGGGCCCATGGCCAATCATGGAAAAAGTCTCGAGAGTAAGCTCTGAAGATAGAATCTGCAGACTGAGTCCAAGAGCAGTCCGATATTGGATACAAACACCTCCTGGCATCTAATGTGATAACGCTGGTGACAAGTAATATTGGCACCTGACTCCCTTTTGAAAAACATCCGTGGGGTGGAGATGAGAGGCCTATTGCATAGGTAACTGTCAATTTCCTATTAAAATATCCTATTCAGGAAAAAAGGATCCAGCCTCACCTCCATTAGCACTACCACAAGCGAAATTATAAAAAAAAAACCTCCCCAGGCACAGAATCATGATCATTCATTACTAACAGATGTTGTACGTGTGTGTATGTAAGTAAACATAAATGTTGCCCCAGATAATTGAGAACAGATTATAATAGCTGATCTCCGAAATGATCTAGTATCTATTGTTAACTGGTGCAAGGAATGGCTTGTTAATTTTTTAAACTCCAAAACGAAACTGCTTTCTTTTAATCGTCTAAAAGAAACCATTTATCCTCCATCAGCATGGCTGATGCTAATCTCCAAGAGAGTCATCCATTGCGCCTTCCCGGGCTAACCTTTTCAGCTGACAGGAAGTGAAAAAATTCTATCAAATCAGTTGTTAGTCTGCTACTAAGAAAATCGGTTCATTTTGTCGTGTTCG